TTAGAATAAGGAATGGAAGCGTTAAGAGATGCTTCTTTGTGGGCTACAGCTGTGGGCCCTCAGGAGGGCTCTGGGCTTTGGCTGGAGAATACCCCAGGTGAGCTGGTTCCCCTCCTCGCTCCCCATTGAGCGTATCTGGGGATGCAGCTCTGCTTCCTCTCCCATCCTCTGCCTCTTCTTGCTTACGGGCGAATGTCGTCCTTGAATCCAGAGGCTTTTGCTTTGTTTTGAGCAGTGTGTCTTCGGATCTGGGGGATGTGCCCTTATGGGCTCGGGCAGTGCTGGTGCCCATCTTTTCCAGAAGTGCGGAGGAGGCAGAGCTTTGTGCCTTGCAGACACATTCCAAGGAGGAGGCCAGCTCGTGTGCCATCCCGAAAGGTTCCTGCTTTTTGGGAAGGGCCAGGAAGCCTGTGGGTGGGGCTCCTGCTGTGCCATTGATGCAGTCCCACCTGAGGCAAGCCCAGCACCTGCCCTGCCCCTTCCCCAGTCACTCTGGCTGCTCCCTTTTTTAGTGAACTCTGGCCCTTTCGGCAGCCGGCTGGCTGGCCGGCAGGAGAAGCTGGCCTTCCTTCTGGCAGTTTGTCCAGAGAAGACCCACGTAGAAAGATGTCTTATCTTGTCTTGCAGCTGACCTTGCGGGGCAGTTTGGCTTGGAGTGGGAGCACAGGCCATCCCAGCAGAGAGGGCAGTTTGAAAGGACCAACCTGGTCATCCTCACACAGGTATGAACTTCCAACTCCCAGAATTGTCAGCATTGGTAGCAGCTGTGCTGGCTGGGGAATTCTGGGAATTGAAGTCCATACCATAGCCAAGGCTGAGAAATGCTGGTCTAGACATCTGGAAGTTACACCGTGCTGGGTAGCCTTAGTGGCCTGTGGCCTGTCCCCACCGTGCCATTGGAAGAGCCCAGAGGCTACCCGCACGCAGGATTGTTTCTAAGCTGAGGTTTGTGCCCAGCACCAAGGTTCACTGTGCCTTGTGTCCGCTTGCCTGGCAGAGCCCCAGGAATTTTCCAATATATTAATCTGAGCTGAATTCTTGTGCGTGGCCTAAAGTTGCAGGAGAGATTTTAAAATATTTTGCACCATTTTTGTGCTATAGCCTGCTCCTTCTCCCTGTGGCTTTCTCTAAATAAAAAAGGATTAATGTCCCTATATTCTAATTTTGTTTTTGTTTTTGTTTTTGTTTTACTTTTGAGAAGGTGAGCTTTGACAGGGCAATAAAATGTCCACTTATTTTGAAAAGAAATGTATTTTAGCATTCTGAAATGAAGGAATCGGGAAGGAAAGCCTGTTCTAAGGTAGAGTCTTCAAGAATTTCCTCTTATTATTTTTTATTTATTAGGGAAATTTATATGGCCACACCTACTCAGAAGAAGAGTTTACAAACAGTAAAAACCCAGTATAAAAAATAAACAACCCCCCACCCCCTAGTGACAACCCCCAGTCAAATGAGCCACTCGATGGACTCCACTCTGGGGTCCCCAGGCCTGTTGGCAAAATCAGATCTTCAGGCTGTTCTGAAAGAGTGTCGAAATGGGGGCCCGTCTTGTCTCCATGGGGATCATGTTCTGCAGGGAGGAAGGCCCTACTTCTGGGTCCCGCTAAATGGACCTCCTTAGGGGAGGGGACCCATCGCATTCCCTTCCTCTCTGCTCTGGTGAATCAGGTAGATGTGACTAGGAAAGGACAGTCCCTCAGATAACCTGGTCCCAAGCCATGAAGGTGACAAGCAGCACCTGGGATTGGCCCTGGAGAGGTGACACACGTGCATTTAGGTCGTTCACTTGTTCTCCATTGGGGTCCATCTATTTTATGATCAGAAGAAGAAGTGTGCCAATGTTTCAGTCTACTGTTTAAGGATGGGGTTCCCTGCTACTCCTCAGATGTGGGTCGTCAAGGAAGATGGGGAAGATGTCCTCTTCTGGCACTTTGCACCCTGGCCAGTGGTGAAATGCAAATATTTTTACTACTGGTTCTGTGGGCGTGGCTTGGTAGGCGTGGTATGGCTTGCAAAATCTCCATTCCCACCCAACTCCTGGGGGAAGGATATTGCAAAATCTCCATTCCCACCCCACTCTGGGGCCAGCCAGAGGTGGTATTTGCTGCTTCTCCAAACTGCTCAAAATTTCTGCTACTGGTTCTCCAGAACCTGTCAGAACCTTCTAGTTTTCACCCCTGCTGTGGTGGGCACATTCAAAGCTGCCCCTGCCCCCCTCCTGGGCCTTGCTTCCCTCTGGCACTGGGAAGCAGAGCTACTGATGTGCTTGGAAGGTCACAGCCGTGAGCAGGAAGGATGTGCCTGGAGGGGGGGAGCAGGCAGGGGGAGCTGCCCCAGAGATGGTCTGCCTGAAGAGCAGGAGGGAGAGGGGAAAGCCACACACCCCGTTGTCCCAAGATGGTACCTGGCTGACACTTGGGGCTTCTGTGCCCAGGGGCCGGGGAGGGCTCTGTGCCCCCTTCTTGGTTCTTCCTCCTGTGGTTGAGTGATGCCCCCCATGTGCTGTGCCAGGGGAAAGGGGCACCCTCTACTGCACAGCTGCCTGGCAGTGGAGGAGAGGCTTTAATTCCTTTAATGTTATTTGTTTCTGGTCTTTGCTTCCTTTTTAGCTGCCATGAATGCTCACGGGCAGGCAGTAGGGAAGTTATAAATAGGAGTGACTCCCCCAGCTATAGGGCAGAGGGGTCTCCCTTTGCAGTCCTTGGCTGCCTGGACCTTCACACGGAGGCTGCCCCACTGCCCAGAGCCACCTCCCCAGAGCCGCTGGCCACAGCATCTCTGGAGAAGCCGACCTCAAAGGTGGGCCCAAAGGTGGCCGGAGAGAGGTCGGGTGCCAGGTGCGGCTCCAGAGCTTGTGTGCATTGCTGGGCTCAGCTGCCCTGGACCATGTGAAAAAGGATCCGGGATCTATTTGGGCTGGCAGCAGCCCCGAGCTGACAGTCCCTTAACTGGGCCAGCTCAGTTCGCAGGGGCTGCCTCATTCTTTTGCTGGGCTGGGCCGTCTCTGGAGCGTCTGGGCCCAGAACCTGTTTTTCAGGCAGGGTGGTGGGCTGGCACTGTGCTCAGGACCGGCGAGTCCTGTCCGAGCATCTAACCTGATGCTGTGGGAAGAAGGTGGCAGGCTCAGCATTGCCTGGGGCAGCTGGATCTTGGCGGGGGTTCCAAGGGCTGCTCCGGGCTCCCCCTGTCAGATTCCTGAGGCCTGAACCTGTGCAGAGATTTCTGCTGCTTCTCGTGCTTTGGGGTTACCGATTGCTTATGTCTCGCTTACTCCCTGTGCCCATCCCATCGCTGTGCAGCAGACGTTCACCCCAACTTCCTCCACATGCTTCCCTTGTCCTGTTTGGTGCCCCCAGTAAGCAGTGTGCCAGTGCCCAGCAGCAGCTGCCTTGCCAAGGGATTGCTTTTCAGCTGTGAATATTGCAGGTGGATGGGCACATTCTGGGCGTTGGGTGTGGGTGTCTCCTGATCCCAAGGGGTGTGGCCCTGCTAGTGAACTCCTCCCACTTTTGCTGAAGATGAAGGGGGGGCACTCATGCAGAGTAGGGGGATTTCGGGGAACAAGATTTGGGAGGAAGGGTGAGCCTAAGTTGCCATGTGGGCCCTCTGGCCCCCTCTTCCCACCAGGCACTCCTGTGACTCTCAGCCAAAAGTGGGGGGAGGCTCCCAGGGGTCATTTCCCTCGAGATCTGGGCCTCAGTTGAGACAGTCCACGTCCATCCAAGGCCAGCAGCTCTTCCATCGAGCCTGGTCTCCGTGTGGCTTCTGGGAGCTTCTGGTGCTGCCTCTGGAGGCTGGGGGGACCCTTTGGGGCCATTTTTCCCTTTTGAGTGGCCCCTCCCTTCCCTCCCCCGCCCTCCAGGACTGTTGTTTCTTGCAATCTGGGAGAAAGGAAGTGAAGGCTCCACCCTCCGCCTTCGGAACATGGGGGGGCACGTTGGGGGGGCCTCCCAGCCTGGCCGTAGGCCCAGCCTGGCCACCTGTGGTGGGGGCGGTCAGTCTCAGTCCCGCAGATGCTCAGCTGAGAGGCTCTTGGTTGCTGGGAGCACTGGGGCCACCCAGGAGGAATCTGTGAGGGGGAGGGGGCCTTCCGCCATTCAGCGCCCCCTCTTGGCATGATGAGGACAATTGAGAAGAAGCCCAGCCTTGCCAATGGGTGCCCTCTGGACGGGCTTAGCCTGCCACCCCCGGGATGGAGCTGCAGCTCTCCCAGCCAAGCGCTGTTTGAATGCCCGCCCCGCCCCGCCCCCCCCAGTCAGGACAGCTTTAGAAGCAGGACATTTTCCCAGGGACCCCCCCTCCCCTTTCCTGCTCAGTGCAGCTGCTTTTGGATCCGAATGAGAGACAACCGCTCTCAGCCCTCTTCCGCCTTGGTTGCAGCACCAATGTGGGAGGAAGTGGGTTGGCGAGTGTGGGCGCTGCCAGGGAGGCCACCTGTTGAGGCCCAGTGGCACCCGGGGGGGGGGGTCTCCTCGGAAGGTGCTGCCTGCAGCTAAACAAAGGTGCCCTGGGAAGAGGAGGCCCTGCTGCGAGGGGGTGCCGGCTGAGGGGTGGCAGAAGGTTGCCTGCGGAGGGCAGTGCATTTCCTTCCGTCTCCCCTTTGCAGATGGCACCGCCGGCTGGAGGGCTCTGCCCACGTGCCCCATACGGAGCCAGCCCCGTAGCACAAGGCCTGGCATGCAGAGGCAGCCCTGAGCAGCAGAGCCTGCAGCTGGGCGGAGGGGGACTCTGTGTTTTTCCATACTTGGCAAGGCTGGGAACAGCGTTATGGAGAGGTTGCGGGACAACAGGGTGCCCCGTTGGGGTAGCCATTCTCCAGGACGGGCATGGGTTCCCGCCTGCTGCCTTGGAGCAGAGCAAGGGCTGTTGGGGAGCAGAAGGGCAGGCTCCGCTGCTGGGGAACGGCTCTCTTGGGGTGCACATCCAAGGACTGGTAGGGGCTTCTCCTGCAGCAGAACAGTCCTGGGGGCCCTCCTGTGTCACACCAGCAGCCTTTGTGATTGTTGTTTGATTTCTCTTTTTCCCACAGAATCACAGAGTTAAGTTTCTTGGTTTCTAGTGCAACCATCACCAGAGCCCAGTGCTTGAAAATAATAAATGCAGACATTAAAACAAAAGCTTCTCTGTTTGTCACTTGCAGCAACTTCTTGATTTGCTGCTCGAGGTGGGGAGGGGAAGGTGGCAAGAGCCCCCCCCCCCAGGCGAGGTTGATAATCCCTCCTGGGAAGCCTCAAGTTCCGGGGGCAGAGAAGGCGACAGAGTCCAGCCGCGGTTGATGCTGGAGGCCATGAGAGCCACGAGTTGAGGGGCTTTCACGGGGGTGCTGTGGATTAACGGAGCATGTGCTGCCCGTCCGGGAGGCCGCTGAGTCGGCGCTGCTGTTAGAGGGTGGCCAGCATCCGTTGGGAGGCTATGGGGCTGGGCTGGCACTCAGGCTTCCTACTGCTGCCAGTCTCAAATTTCCAGAGGTGGGAAGTGCCTCCCTCTCCCGATTCCTCAGGCCATCCAGCCTCCTGCCGTCTGAAGCTGCTGACAGATGCATGGAAGATGGAGGAGGCTGGCCTCTGATCTGGAACGACATCCCCCCCCGCAGGAGTTAGGAAAGGGGGACATTTTCCAGCTGCCCAGTCAGCTTTTGGGGGCGCAAAAGCTGATTGGGGTGGGGGAGGGAGAACAGGCTGCTGACTAGTACAAAATCTTCTTTGTTTTGCAATGGTGTTTGGGTAAATTTGTGGTTCAGGTGAGCTGGTCTTGCCCCCCCCCCCAGCAGCAACCCTGGCTTTTCTCTTTTATCTCCTGCCACCCCACCCCACCCCGCCTCTTCCCCATGATGCTGGTTGGCTCTTGGCCAGCAGAGATTCTCTGTGGTCCAGGGTGGGATGGAGCCCTCCTCCTCTGCCTCATGGGCAGCCGGGGCCACCACCCTGCAGGTTTTGGAATGTGGCTGGGAGGGTTGCTTGGCAACTTCCAGTACTTGCCTCCCCCCACCACCTCCCCCTGGGGGCCTTAGCACTGGGTAGCTTGAGAAGCTGCAGGCAGGGGCGGGTGGGCGTGGGGGAAGGGAGGGGCTGGGGATTGGCATGTACCCCCCCTCCAGGAGGGTGGCAGCAACTGCAGCAGTTGTAGCCTCTGAATCTTCTTTTCTGCTCCCCACACCATCCCTGGAGGTGTCCTGTAGTTGCCTAGCAACGGCTCTTTCACACACCTTCCCCACAAAGCCAAGGAAGCTGTGCCTGGCCAGGCAGGAGGGGTTCAGCAGGGCTCCTCCAGGCTTCTCCCTCAAGAGACCCTCCTCCACCCCACCCCCTTCATTTGGGAGCTGAGCGCAGTTGGCCGGGAGTGGGGGGGGTCCTTTTCTAAAGCAGATTAAGCAGGTCGAGACAAGCCCCCTCAATACACACCTGTGTGGTGGGGGGTTAACTCTCAGTCGCTTTAGAGCCCCTCCATGGGCTTCTCTGCCACTTGCTTACACGTCTGAGATGGCTGGGCAGGATGGGTGGTCGGAGTGGTCGGCTGTGGGCATCTGTGGGCAGAAGAGAGGGACAGTTCTGGTGGGAGGACCTTTGGCCCCAGGTGCGAAAGTTCCCTGGCATGACCAAGCATGCCCGGAGAGTTGGCACGGCTGCCTCTGCCCGGAGCGGCTCCTGGTGCTTCTCCCCCTCGCTGCCTGGGAGCTGATGCTGTTGAAGCAGCCCTGGCCTGGAGCTCTGAACCTTTTCCATTGCGTTTCCTTAGTTAATGCAACAGGCATGAAAAGAAAGAACCAAGGAGGCCGGTTCTATCAGTTGGACTCCATTCAGTTAGCCAGATTCATTTTTCCCCTTTGATCCCTGCTTTCTGAATGCAACCAGTGACACGCCACGGTGAGCCTGATCCCCCCCCCCCCCCCCCCCCCCCCCATGGCTGCCTGCCTGCTTTACTGTACATTTATCTGTCCTTGGGGGCAACGAGGGGGATCCTGAGGCTGTTGGATTGCAAACCCTCCCACTCCAACCTCGGGGATCTCTCTCCTCTCGGGGAGATCTGAGGGGGAGGCAACGCTTTTGCCACAGTTTCCACTCTCCTCCCCCTCAAGGGGGTTGGGATAAGAGATCCCTTCAAAGTCCTGGGTCCCCAATCTCTCTGTCCACTTTTGTGTCCAGAATTCCTCTCCAGCTGCTCTGAAATGCAGCCAGCTGAGCTGAACAATAAGCCAGAGCAGCCTAGTGTTAAAAGCAGAAGGGGAGGGGTTGCCACCTTCCAAGCTCTGTGTTTTCTGCACCCCCTCCTCTGCCATGTGCCCCCCCTTTCTCACCAGGTGTCGCTTGCCTGCCAGGTGGGCCCAGAGCTTGCCTCCCAGGTGCCCACCTGGTCCCACCAGTGACTTTGCTGGACCCATGGCAGAGGAGGGGATGCAGAGCAGCTCCTGTCCCTGCTGGGCGTGTGAGTTCTCTAGGCAACCGTGCCGACAGGCTTGGCCACCTGCCTCCTCCCTGCCTCTCAGCACCATCTGCGTCTGCCTGCCAGCGTCTCCTTTGGCGGAGGAGCAAGGCAAGGCTGGGCTGGAGGAAATTCCTGCAGGAGGTGTGGACAGCAGAGCGGCTGGGTGTGTCCCTCACAGCCAGGCGGTATCTGGGGCTCCGCCTTGCCGGGCTCAGGATGGGGGGTGCCGCCCTTCTCCCATCTGCTGCGAGCCTGGCTGGCGCGGCAGCCGGTCCCTCGGCCCTGGGTGGGGCAGGGCGTCGCCTGGCAGTTCCCCTTTTATTAATCCTGGCCCGGCTCAAGCTATTGCCCAGTGGTTGCTCCTCTGGACTAGTTCTCGCTGGTGGAGGTGCAGTGGAGGAGCCTTCCTGTTCCCCCCCCCAGTTAAGGGGGGCTCCTCTGTCTGCAGCGGAAACCCACCGGAGGGAAGGTGGGCTCTGCAGCTTTTCAGGAACAGCCCCTTGTGCAGGGCCTCCGCAGAGCGTAGCCTGCCTTTGTTGCAGGACCTGTGGTTGGGGCCACGTTTCATGTCGGCAGGAGATCAGGAGTGGGGGGGAGCAGTCAGTGGGGATGGGGTCTGCTTGGCGCTTTGGCAGTCTTTGGAGCAGAAGGAAAGGACTTGGGCTCCTTCCAGAAACTCAAGGGGGACTGTGAGGGGGCTGCCTTTCTGCCTTGGATGGGGGTGTCTTTCCTGTTCAAAGATTTGGCCAAGAGTGGGGGTGCCTGGAAGCACTTCTTCTGGGCCTCAGTGGAAGGGCGGAGTCTCCCTGGTGCTTCCTCAGGCTATGGGGGTTTGAGACCAGCCTCTGTTCACTTTGCAGCAGGCAAGGAACTCTGGTGGGTGCCCAAGTATCCCTCTCTCTGCTGGTGGCTCTCCCAGCAATTGGGTTAGTGTGCCCGCTTGCTGGCATCCTGTCTGTCCTCGGGGCTCTGCTTTGCCCCTGGTGCTGGCCACTTCACTCTGTGCGGTGTGAGAGCTGTCCTCGCGAGGACCGGGCAGAAACGGGTGTCCAGGGGAGGCATGGCCTGGTAGCTCATCGGCTGCAGCCATGGGGGTTGCTTCGACCCGAGCAGCTTTCAGATAGGATGGCTTTTCCCAATGAAATATTAAAGTTCTGGTGAAAGCGGATTGTCCCTCCCCAACGGTGCAAGGTGCCTGAAGTTGAGGGCTTTGATCTCCACACCTGCCTTGTCCCCCTCCCGGACCCTGTCCTGCCCCTGAAGCCAACAGAGGACAGAGAGAAAAGCCAGATTTGGTGCCCTGCTGGTGTGGAGGTTAATGTGTAACTGGCATGGGGCAGGACTCCAGCCAGGATTGGGGCCTTCTGCGAGTGCCTCTGCAAACCCTCTTTGGTTAATCTCCAGCCAAATGCCTGGTTCACCCAGCAGGAAAGCCTGGCCTGCTTTCTTCGTTGAAATCCGTGTGCTAGTATTTGGTGCACATTCAGCCCCTACAGTCAGAATGCTGGCTTGCAATGGACCTGGAAAGCTCCTGGCTTCTTATGAGGCTCCCTTAAGTTGGAGACGGCTCTCTGCTTCGGTGGGAGAGGCCACAGGGGACGTGCTAGCCCCAGCCAAGAAGGCTTGCCCCCTCCCCTTTAAGGCTTTCCGGGGTGGGGAGGGGGAATCCGTGCTACTGCTTACAAAATAGCATAGGGAGGCATTGCAGCATCCTTTGGAGTGGTACCAGTGGCTGCCGCCTGTCTGCTCTTGCCTCTGTGGCTGGGAGGATCCTTCCTGGGGGGTTGCCTTCCCCCATTTCCAGGGCAGCCAAGGCAGCTATGCTGGGTCTTCTGGTTATATGGGAAAAGGGGAAGCAGGAGCTCTTCTGTCTGGGCAAGCGGGGGGGGGGGGGGGAGGAGGAGAGACCTTTGCAAGCGAGAACTGAAACTCACTGTTGCAAAACGTGGAGGCCCCTCACTTCAGTGGCTCTCTAAAAGACGGGGGCTTTTTTCTTTTACCATTCCACAACAGCAGGAGTGCTTGGGACTGAAAGTGAAACCTCCATACCAGGAAGTAGTCTACCACTAGCCTAGGGTAGGAAGAGAGAAAGAGGGGGATTGTGGTCCCCGTCCTGATGCAGATTTTTTTCTCCAGGCGGCTTTTGTGGTGAGAGGGTTGGCCTGACTTTCAGTCTGCAAGCTGTTTCAGATCGTTTTGTTTGGGTCTGGGGGGGACGGGGGCCCCGGGGTAAAAATTGAGCCTGTTGTGCCCCCCCGGCTGGAAGTTTTGGTTCCTAGCATCTCTGCTTCGCGAAGGGAAGGAAAGGGAAACCACTGGGGGCTGAGCTGAGAAAGGCTCCTTGAGAGGAGCTTCTCCGGGTGGGTGGAGGCCTTGTATGTGCTGGTGGGGGTGGCCAGCTCTAGCCTCCTCCTCCTCCTGGCCCACCAGCTTGCAGGCCATGGAAGGAAGGGGTACGCAGAGGGTGCAGCCCCTCTTTCCCAGTTGTGGAGAAACAGGCCACTCCCGGCCCCCTCTGGGAGTTCTAGATCAGCCCCTAGCCTGAGAGTCCCTGGGGCGTCACCTGGGCATCCCGGCCACTCTTCGCCTCTCCTGTGCCCGGAACAGTGGTAGGTTTCTACCAATTCGCCCCAGTTTGGGCAAATCGGTAGCGAGCACACACATGCACGCACTCATAGTTCTGAACCAGTAGCGAAGGTAAGTGAAAACCGCTACTGGCCCGGAAGTGACATTTGTGGTGTCTGCAACGTTCCTTCACTTTGATTTCCCATGGCTGCAGCATTAAGCGGCTCCCGGCGTTTTCTGCTACTCTGCATTAGTTTTGCACATGAACAATTGCTTTCTCCTCGTTTAAAAAAAAAAGGGGGGGTTGTTGCTTGGACCGTTCAAGTGCCTGTGATAGCGCTGTGGGGAAGGCCCCCTGGCCAGGGTGGGAAATCTGCTGCAACGGCTGGAGTGGCAGAGCACCCCAGCCCACTCCTGAGCACAAGCATTAGCCGTGCAAGGGAGTGTGAGCGGCACAGAAGCTCCCCAGGAGTTGGGTGGGGGAGGGGCGGAGTGGAGTGGATTTCCGCTGGCTCAAGAGGGGCGGCGTAGAAACCTCCCCCTCTTCCAGCACCAGGGGCTTTGGGAGAGGGTGGGGCTGCCCCATGCGCCCCTGGAATCTTGACCCTTTCCTTTCCGAGGGGCTGACCTCCTGGGCCTTTGGGAGATGGGAGTTGGGGTCACCTAGGCCTTCTCCAGTAGGGAAGGCCAACCTTTGTAGCCCCTCTTTTCACACTGGGCTAAGCTTGTATTTGAGTGCAGTCAAAAGTTTCTGTGACATTCTCACCCCCAAATGGTGAGGAACCTCCCAGCTGAGTTTTTAGGGGGTGGGCGGGGACGCTGCAAGGGGGAGTTTTGCTCTTTTGTGATTGGGATCAGAGTGGGAGGCTGGGTGTCCTCTTGGCACAGGGAGGTGGGAATCCTGCCCAGAGCACCTCCCACCAAGAAGGAGTGTCCCCCTCCTAAATTAGAACTGCCTGACTTGCACCCCCCCCTCCACTTCAGGGCTGGAAGAATGTGCTCCAGCCCATTCAGCTGCCTCCCTCCCCACGCCCTCTGCTCTCTGGGGAGGAGGCCGCCTGCTGTGAGGGGTGGGGCTGCTCCTCCAGTGATTGGCCTGGGGCAGGGCGGGGGCTGGTGTGCAGCTTCACCCAAGCAGGCAGGAATTGCCTGTCCACCCTGGGCGGAGGCGAGTTGGGGGAGGGGAGCCTGGCAGGACTTTTGCCCGGCTGCCAGCTGGCCTGCCCCCCCCCTCCGCCCCGTTGCTCTCCTGTTCCCTCAATGTTGGCTGTCCTTGGAAGAGCGGCCTGGCCTCCAGAATCGGGCACGGCTTGGCAGTTGCGCCTCTGGTGCAGTGCTTTTGCATACGGCCAGAGCAGAAGAGGGCGAGGGGAGAGGCCCTGCTGCCCAGCATTTCCCACCTGGATATACCTAGCCTGGGTTTCAGCTGGTTAAATTAGCACAACTTATTTCAGATGGGGCTCACAGGTGGGAAGAAAGCCCTGGGTTCTTGGGGAGGGGGTGCCTGACCTTTGGGGAGAACCCAACTGCCAGGCGTGGTCTTGGTACATCAATGCCAGAGCCACCTGTGGGCAGAAGCTGTGCAGAATGTTCCTCATCTGGGGGATGAGGGCATTCTGGCTGGAGAAGACAGATCCGGTTCCATTCACTGCCTCCCCTCCCCCGCTTTAAGCAGGTAGAAAAGGGAGGATCCTGCACAGCAGGGTACCAACCCTTGGAAGCCTCCTGTCCCTGTGGGGCTCTAAGCACAGCATCCCCTAATTTCTTTGCCAGTTAAAAGATTAACTCATCTCTGGCTCTGCCAAGCCCCCTCCCCATGAAAAGCAGGAATAGTGGGGGAGGGGCTGCAGCTGATTCTTTGGGAACTTCTCTCTGTCCAGGTGGAAGAGAGCTTGAGGCCTAGCAGCTGCCCTTCCTTTCAGCTGGATGCCTGTTGGGGGAAGGGGGGGGGAGATTGTCAGGGCCAAGTGGATACTGAAAGCCGAGGCTGGGCAGTGCCACTTGCTGCAGCCCCTGCAAGGACTTGATGGGCTCCCCAAAGTTGCACAGAGGATGAGCAGCATCTCACGGAGCAAAGACCTCTGGCCAGGTGGCTTCACCTGGGGAATTGGGAGCTGGTGTTTTACCTGGAGAAGAACATGGCGTTGATGGCGTTAGCTGGACCAACGGCTTGTGGGGACTTTCAACCTATCACCCAGAGGCCACTACCAACTGCAAACTGGACCCATAGGCCACTCCCGGGCAGGGCCCCTTCAAGGTTTTCTTTGCCCAGGTCAAAGCAAAGGCGGGGCTCCCTTCTCTCCAGGCCTCTCCCCCACCCCGCCCAACCTGCCACACCAGAGGGCCGGGAGGGACGGAGGGAGGGCGGGCCGGTGCCGGTGTTTTTGTGCCTTAGGTTTCTTGGTGACACTTGCTGCATGGAGGAGGGGGGGAGGAAGGGCAGGCGAGGGGGGGGCTCTAGGGGGCGATAGCCTTCCCGGGAGAGGAAACTGGGGGCGGTGCAATGAACGCGAAGTGGGGCAAGGAGGGATCTCTCCTCTTGGACCCGCTTTCTCTCGAGGGACGCCTGGCCGTCCGGTAAAGCGAGAGCAACTCTCGGGGAGGGGGGGGCGGTCAGTTAGGGTCCCGCGGACGCGCCAAAAACAGCGGGCTCCGTGGCCCGGGAGGGGACTGGTTGGTCCCTGGCCCCGGTGCTGAGCAAAGAGCCGCGCGCGCGGTTGGCTGACGGTTCCCTCTGCCAGCCTCCTTCGCGAGTCAACGCGGAGGGCGAAGCAACTTTGGCAGCCGGTCCCGCCGATGACCCGCATCCGGCCGGCCCTTCGCGCGCCTGCCCTTCCCCACCCGGGGCGGGTCCGTCCACCTGCAGGGCCTCGGCCACGGGACTGACCTCCCCCCCCCCTGGGCTGGGCCAAAGTCGCGCAGAGGCGGCGGAGCTCCCTGAACGCCAGCGCCGCCGCCGCCGCTTTGGCCGGACCCCTCCCCAGGGTGGGGCTGCCAGGAGGGCACACCCCTCCCCCCCGCCCATCCGGCAGGCGCCGAAGCCGGAGAGCGCAGCCCGCTGCGGAGCGAGCAGGAGGGGCCGCCGCCGCCGCCGGACCCGGAGAAGCCCCCGCACCCCACCCCACCCCCGCCGCTTGCCGGCTCGGGATGATCCTGCCCGCGGAGAGGTCGAGCGCCGCGCAGAGCGCCTGGGAGGTGAGTGCGCCGCAGGGAGAGGCGGAGCGCCTCCCCAGTCCCGGCGGCGTCCGGCGGCAGGTCGCGAGGGGGAGGGGAGCGCTTGGCCCACCTGGCCCAATGGGACGCCGCCCACCGGAGCAGGCCGGCTGTATTGGGCCGCCACAGGCTGGCCGGGCCGGTTGGGCACAAGGCGGGCAAGTGTGGGGGGAAGCAGGAGGGAGCGAAGGGGCTGGGCAGTTGCCGCCTGGAGGCCTCCGTTTGAGGGGCTGCCAGGCTGCCACTCGCTCTCAGGGCCCACCCCCGCTTAGCCTCCCCGCGTTTTCCGAGAAGAGCTGATGTGTTGACAGGTAGCAGCCTCCGTGGCAGGCGGCGGGGCCTCCGGGAGTAGCGGCAGGTCTGAGGCAGGAAGGGTGTCTGAGTGAGGGGTGGCCTTAGGATTAACCCTCCCTGGCTCCGAACTGAAGAGAGGCCGATTGGTTCAGCACCCCTTGGATGGATGGACGGATGGACGGACAGGGTGCAGGACCGCGGTGTCTGCAAATGCCCTTTGGTGGCCGATGCCAGTTCAAGACTCAACTTCTGGCCAGGTGGGCTTCTTCCTGTCTGCCCCACCCCCCTCCCAAGATAAAGGAGTAACGGGCAGAGGCCACCTGGGGGCAGACCTGCAGGCCCTTCTCAGGAGTTGAGCAGAGGAGAGGACTCACAACTTGGAGGTTGTTCAGGCCCCTCCACACTTCCATCCCTTTAGTTTTGCCAAAAGGGCTGCCCTTGAGGGTGGGGGGTGGGGGGGTCAACTCCATCCATCCTGGCTCAGGAGCAGTAACGCCCCACCTCCCTGCTGGAAGACGGAGGCTCATGGGTTGTGCAGCCTTTATTCATTAGCCCGCCCCCCTTTGTGACTTCTTGGCTGCTCCTCAAAAGGTTCTGCCTAGTGCTGGGTCCTCCTTCCTCCCCCGCCTCTTCCTCCTCCTGCTCTGGGCTAAGCATGACAGACACTGCTGTGGGGCTACATCGCCCGCCCCCCCCCATAATTTGCTCACTGACCCTTGATGGCTGGTGGGGAGAGGCCGGTGCCCTCCCCCAGGTGTTTTCCGGTAGCTGAAAGGTTTGCCTCCTTACCTAGAAGAGCCCAGACAACTGGTCTAGAGGGGGAGCATGGATTTTCTGTAACTTTGGCGGGGCGGGGGTTCAGCTTTGCTTCCCCACACCTGCCCCTTCCTGAGCACAAGCAAGAGTGGTACCCCCCCCCCCACAGCCCCTATTCTCGCTTCCCTGGCATTGGTGTCAGGGATCACGTGGTTCAGATTGCTGCCCAGCACGGGTAGGGTGGCGGGGAGAGTGGGGCTGCCTCCCTGGGCTCTCCTTCTCCAAGCCATCCAGATTGACCCTCTCAGAGAAGGAAGGGTTCCTCGGTGGTGGTGGTGGTGGAGGGGGCTGACTCAGGCCAAACAGCCATGGAGGCTCCTGTGTGAAGCTGCTGGCTTTGTCCCGCTCACTAACTAGGGCTCAGCAAGCCCTGTGCAGGAGGAGAACCAGGGGCTCTGCACTCCTGCAATTCCCGTGGCCCGTGGGGAGCACAGCAAGGGGGGGGCTGCAGGGGCTGCCGGTCTCCTGCCGAGGCTCCTTTAAGGCTCCTGCTGGGGTTCTGATTCTCTGTGGGAGAAACCAGGGAAGGCAACTGCAAAGCCAGGAGGCCGTAATTCTCTTTCTCTGGCTTTTTTTGGGACCAAGGGAGTCCAGAATCCAGGTTCTGCAGTGTTGGCCACTGACTCCTCTGAAGGGTTTCCACGCAGGGTGTGTGTGGAGGAGGAGCTGTTGGCCAAGGGGAGGGGAGGGAGGGGCAGTGGGGGGCGGGCTGCAGATTAAAGCAGCAGGGGGAGGGAAGGGCAGAGCAGCAGGTGCTGTGGGATGCTTGACAGAGGAGCGGGGAGGGGAGGGCAAGGAAGAAGCCCCTGACTTGGCTTGTGGCCCCCTTGGAAAGATTCTGCACCCTGCAGGATTTCTTGCATCGAGCCTAGTGGGAAAGCAGGGCCCTTTTTAATAACCCTTTTTGTTTTAAGGACAGAAATTATATGTGGATTGTTACGTAAAAAGCTGGTAAAAAAAATCCCTGAGATGGCACCTGCCGCCTCCGCCCCTGCAAGCCTTAAACTGCAAATAGAAGCAGGCTGGGCAGTCAGGCCTCCTCTGCCCGAGGGCATCTGGTGCAATGGGGACACTTGTGGGCCAGGCTTGAAAATCAGACTTAACCCCTTGAGGCTACAGATGGAGGGGCAGCCCCAGAAGGCGGCAGCATCCCGATCCAGAGGAGCCACCTGGTCTCCCTGGGGGAGCAGAGTGGAGCTCTCTGCCCCACGGCTGTCTCCCCCTCACAGGGGTTGCAGTGACCCAGCTCTGGCAGAGGCAACCTTCTGCAGCTGTCACCTGGCCATCCTGGCAGCCCCGTCAGAACTCAAGGGGGGGGGAACCAAAATCTGGTTTGTTCGCCCCTCCACACAAACGGCCTAATCTCATCCTCAGTCTAGGGGCCCACTTGGGTTTAGCAGCACTGCAGCCCTCTCAGAGGGGCCCCAGCAGCCTGTGCCCCAAGGAGCAGGACAGAAGGACGAAGTCCCTTTGGTGCCCCCCTCTCTGGGGATTTCCATGCTCAAGGGGAGGGGTGGCAACACCTGAGCCAAGCTTGCGAAAGGGGAGGGGAGGAGAGAGGGCTGCTCCCTCAGAAAAGCTGCACAGCCTGCTTGTCCTCTGCTCAGAACAAAGAAGGGAAGGGAAGGGAAGGGAAGGGAGATAGAAGAAGGAGGGGAAGGGAAGGGAAAGGAAGGGAAAGGAAGGGAAGGGAGATAGAAGAAGGAGGGGAAGGGAAAGGAAGGGAAGGGAAAGGAAGGGAAGGGGAGGAGGGATGCTGCTTGTCCCGGATTCTGAAAGGCTGGAGGACAAACCAGCAGCCTGAGCCCATCTAGAATGTTTGGGGGAAGGACACCTGCCTCGCCCTGCCAGAGGAGGGACTTGTGTGGGCCTTGCTGGCTTGACCACTCCTGGGCGGGTCTCGCAGCCCCAGAGGGAGGCCTCTCCTTTTGGAGCTTTGCATTCAAAGCACTTGGAAAGCAGCCATGCAGCCCCCTGCCCTTTGCCCTTGCCCCCTGCCCAGCCGGAACAGAGCTCTTCTCCACCCCGCCTGGGCCAGCCCTGACCCACGGCCAATGCCCATCTGGACTGCCTCCACCACCCACACCAGCTGGAGAAGCAGCTTGCTCCTTTGGGGGCTGGGAGGTTTGCCTCCCATCCAAGGACTGGGTGTCCTTCCGAGAAGGTGGGCACTGGGCCTCCTCAGCCTCTGCCACACCCCGGCTTTGCATGAACCCCTCCAGCTTGCTTGGCCCTCTCCCTCCTGGCCTTTGGATTGGTCAGGTTTTGAGGGTCCCCCTTCCCAAGGCCCTTGGGGGCAGGAGCGTGTGGTCCCAGGGGTTCCTCCTTCAGATTCTGCTTGGAGTCTCTTGCAATCAGAGAGGCCTTTGGAGGTTTTATGGGCAGCCTGGATGGCTTAAGGGGTTTCCTGCATGTGGGGAGGGGCTGTTCCCGAGCACGCAAATCCATTTCTGGCTGGGGTCCTCTTATGCTCCTTTCCTTTCCTCTTTGCAGTTGGCAGGGCCAGCCCACGGCAAGGCCAAGCCCAGGATGAGTTCCTCCTCACTGCTGGGGGAGAGCTCCCTCGAACCCCCGGTGCTGCTGAGCGACATCAAGACGGAGCCCCCCGAAGAGCTGCTGGCCACTGACTGCAACCAGCCGCAGGCCGAGCCAGTGGATCTGTCTCTCCATAAGCCCAAGGGCTCCCTGCAGCCTGCCCCCATCCGCTCGGTGCCCATGCCAGCTGCACCCCCGGCCCCCGTGGTTTCCATGTCTCCCGTCGGGCTGGGCTCCTCTTCAGCCATCCCTGCCGTGCTCTCGCCCGGCTCCATCCTGGCGTCCACGCAGGGCAGTGGCGGGCAGCAGATCTTGCACGTCATCCACACCATCCCTTCGGTCAACCTGCCCAGCAAGATGGGTAACCTGCAGACTATCCCAGTGGTGGTACAGTCTCTGCCTGTGGTCTACACCACCATGCCCAGCGACGGCGTCACAGCCGCCATCACAGTGCCACTGATCGGAGGAGACGGCAAGAACGCTGGATCTGGTGAGTTCTGCCTGCCATCTCCCCACTTTTCCCAGGACTGGGAAGGGTAGGCATCGGCCTCCCTCTTGCTGCCTGCAGTGGGAGCCTCCCTGTTCTGGCTACTCGGGTGCAACTCACCCAAGCTGGAGGGCAGCTTTGTCTGGACCACCCAAAGGTGATCTAGGCACCTTCCCTCCCTGGTCATGTGGAAAGAGGGGGCAGCGGCTGTAAGGCTGGATGTCTCCTCTGGGCATGGCTGCCATGTGGGCATCTGAGGCTGTGCAGTCCAGGACGGAGTTGCCTTTCCTGGGGCGGGGTGGCAGGGGAGACGACCGAGCAGAAGAGGAATGCTGGGCTTGATACAGCTTGCAGGCTCCCTTGTGGGCTGAATATGCCCTGCCTTGCTTGGCAGTGGCGAGGAAGCAACATGCCCCCTGAGAAGAAAGACAAATAGGGGAGCCCCCCCCCCAATAATGAACCCCCATGCATTGGAAGCGGAGTGGCCCCCTCTGCGCCAAGGACAAGGTTGTCACGCTGCGTCTTTCCAGGGGGTGGAGTGGGGGAGCTGAACGGGAGGTGGGGGTGGGGGTTGTAATCGGAGTCCTTTGCCCTGGCACTTGTGCCTGCTGCTGTTGGCCAGGGGGCCTGCTGCCCCTCTGATAGGCTGGTCTTTGGTTTCTTGAGCAGCTGCCAGCCTGAATTCTGACAGGGTCTCTGTTTCTCCGGCAGTGAAAGTTGACCCCAGTTCCATGTGCCCCATGGAGATCCAGAGCGACAGCGAGGACAGTGCCTCGGAGAGCGGGCCGGCCTCCTTCCCTGATCCACAGAAAGAGTGAGTCACGGCCCAGGCGGAGGGAGGGGGCGCTGCTCGCATGAGGGGCCCGATCCTGCTGGGCATGTGGTTCCGGCAGGCACTCTCGGGAAACGTGGTGCTTCCGGGGCACCCTCTGAACACCGGCTGTGGCTCTCCAAATGTCTTTGCCAGGCCCTCGGGGGGCCGACTGCCCCGGATGGAGTCGCCCGACCTGAAGAAGAGGCGGATCCACCAGTGCGACTTCGAGGGCTGCAACAAGGTTTACACCAAGAGTTCCCACTTGAAAGCACACCGGAGGATACACACCGGTGGGTGCACTGCCCTGTGGCCCCACTCTTCTCAGGATCACCCCTGGATTCCTCAGGGCCCATTACATTCCAGAGACACCCCCCCCCCCGGGGAGGTGGGGTTCAACAGCCATTAAGACACATACTGCCCCTTTCGGCCCCACCGGGTCTCTTTGAAGGCCCCAGCAAGAACGTCTGGCAGAGCTGCCCTCTTCGCTCAGAGTTGCCTGACTGCCAATCCCAGCAGCACAAGAGCTGAAATGGGTCTCTGCCTCCCCGGTTTTCCCTTCCCTTCCTTTCTCGAATCTCCTGGACCTTGGGAACCAATTGCCTCTCACCTGGCACTGCCCTTCTCCTGCTGCTGCTTTCCGCCACCCCTCTGGGAAGGCCCCAGGATGAGCCCCAGGTCAGCCCCTGCATCCTGGAAAAGCACTTTGGAGCTCGGCAGAGTTTGGAAGGGCTGCCCAAAGGGAGAAGCTTTGCCTACAAGCACCGGGCAGCTTTGTAGCTTAGAAAGGGGGCGAGGCAGCCCACAGCCTACAATCCCTTTCCCCTTTTTTCCAGTGAAACCCCAGGAGGTTCTTGGTGGACCTGACAGGCAGGCGCTCCCATCGCTGGTAGGGAGTGGGATGGAGAAGAAGCAGGTGCACCCAGGTGCCTCTGGAAGGGCCAAGACTAATCTGGTGGCGTGGTTTTCAGACCGTGCGGATCCTGCTGCCACTTCCTGGTGCCGCTCTCTGGCTTCCTTCCACACGGAGCATTTGAGGCAGGGGTGAAATGTTCCCGGTTTGGACCAGATCGCCCAATCCGGTAGCGATGGCGGCGAGTGGTTTGGAGAACCAGTAGCAAAAATCCCTGCCCCCCCCCATGCCCAGCTGAGCTGCGCCATCATCAGAGGCTTTTTTTTTTTACTTTTAAAAACATTTTTTCTACAACCTCTTTGGCCAAAAAACTGCTTTTAAAAGTTAAAAAAAAAAGCCTCTGATGATCGTGCAGTTCATCTGGGATCATCAGAGGCTTTTAAAAGCATTTTTTACAACCTCTTCGGCCGAAGAGGTTGTAGGAAAAATGCTTTTAAAAGTTAAAAAAAAAAAAAGTTGGCCACGCCCACCCAGTCACATTACCCACCACCACCACCACCACCAAGCCACGCCCACAAAACCGGTAGTAACAAATTTTACATGTCACCACTGGTTTGAGGGCGATCCCAGGCACCTGGATCGCTCACTGTTCCTGCTGCTCCAGACCGGTGTGAAGGCCTTCCTTCCTTCCTTCCCAAACCCAAGTGGGCTGGACCTGGGAACGGGCTGCAGCGATTCCCTCTCGAGCGGAGGGATGCCCACCTGCAAAACTCCCCCTCCTGCTAAAATGGAAGGTGGCTTTTCTGAGCCCTTCTTCAGCCTGCTCTGCCCCTGTGGGGCTGGGGTTGCTAGTTCTTCCCCTTGCCCACCAAGCATCCTAGCAACGGATTCGGTCTCCGGATCCTCCCACATACGTTTCCTAGCAACCTGTTCCATCTTTCAGGCTGGAATCCTTTTAGCCGATTCTCCTAGCAACCCCCATCCCTGCACAATCCCACCTGCTCTCTCTCCCAAAGCGCATCCTTTGGCAACTGTCTGCATCACTCTGTTGCCCCTGGAATGCCAGGCCGGCTGGGCTGGCACCCAAACCCATGTCCTGTGGGCTCCCGGAGGCTGCGCCAGGGCCTGTGTCTTCCCTCCTGTCCTTGGCGCAGACCAGCTGCCTCCCTCCTGGCATCTTTTGTTTAGCTGGCCTGATCTCAAAACACTTGGCTGCCTTGTGCTGGGGGCATCTCACAGGTGGTAGGCAGGCAGACATTTGCCCTGCATGCAAGGCCTTTATTCTGAAGGAGGAAAAGAGGAGGGTCTTGAAAGGGCAGCCTGCTCTTTCTCCTCCCAGGATGGCCCAGGCTGCCAAAAAGGGGAGGGGGACCGAGCATGCAAGCTCTTAGCTGCTGCATCAGCACCAGGCAATCAGCCGGCCAGTTGGCTGCTCCTTTCTTTATTTTTATCCCACCTTGATTTGCAAAGTGGCCGGATTTGGTCTTCAGCATTTCCAGTGCAGAGGGCTCTGTCCTGCCCAGGGATGGGAGGGGGCTGCCTGCCTGCCGGATCCACATCGTGGGCAGGTTGGATGGTGACCTTTCCTTTCTCTGACTTTGCCCACATCAGAAAAGCACAGTGATCCTTTGGCTACCACTGTGGGTCCTCTCGGAAGGCTGGGGCTAGGGCTGGGGGCTGGTGGGGAGAGAGTGACCCAAGGGAGCCTCCTGGGCAGCTGAGGCCCATCTCTCTCTCTCTCTCTCTCTCTTTCTGGACCAAAATGCACCCAGCGCAAACCGAGCGAATGGTCCCATGCCTTTTCTCCCCTTTCTCCCTGCAGGAGAGAAACCCTACAGATGCACCTGGGAGGGCTGCACCTGGAAGTTTGCTCGTTCTGACGAGCTGACCAGGCATTTCCGCAAGCACACAGGCATCAAACCGTTCCGCTGCTCGGACTGCGACCGCAGCTTCTCGCGCTCCGACCACCTGGCTCTGCACCGCCGGAGGCACATCATGATGTGAGCAGGGCAGGGGGTGCGCAGCCCCGTGTCCCATCAGCCCCTGAAGCGGCTTCCCTGGTCAGCTGGACCCTGCGGGGCCTCGGCTGCCAGGCAAGAGCCACCGACCCAGCGATTTGCCCAGAAAAGAGCCTTTGTGCCATCTGCGCCCCCCGAGATTGGTCTTCGGTCTCTGTGGCTGGGAAGCTTCAGGGTCTTGGAAGAATCCGGAGCCAAGCAAGGGACATGGGTGGGTTGTGGGAAGAGACGGATCATCGTTCAGAGGGGCTTCTGCAGTGGACCCAGGCCAGGAAACTGCCGAATGCGGGTTCCTTGGGGGAGTGCGTGCCATGCCCAAGCAAGTGGACCTTCTCTACGTGGCCGGGCACTTCCAAGGTCTTGCCCTGCACTTCTTGCTCACAGCACAAGAACAGAAATCGCACCATACTAGGATGTAACGTGTGTGTGTGTGTGTGTGCTGGGCTGAGGGTGGGTGAGCTTGGGGTTGATTGCTTTTAACTACATTTTTATGAGCACTGAAAGAAAGTCTGTGTCTGAATTATGGCCCCACAGGCGGAACTGATTTGCTTCTGGAGGGGCCAGGCAGGGTTGGGTGGATTGCGCACAGCTGTCCTTTTGCATTGCCCCACCCCCACCCCACTCCCACTCAGGACTGCAGCTCTCCTCTCAAGAGACACTTTGAATCCAAGATCAACTTTTTTTTTGAATTTTAAAACTTTATTGCATTTGGGGAAGGGAGGAATGCCGCTCCGATCAAAGTATGGCAGAACTCCTGCCCACCCAGAGCCCTACTCGGAAGAGATCCTGGCTTGGCGGAGGAGGGGGGCAGAGGGGCTTGGCAGAGGAAGAAGTTGCGGAACGCAGAACTGTGACACCCCATCAGGTGGGGGAAGTGGGGGGGGCTGGTTCCCAATTCTGCCTACAAGGACAGAAAGGGCAAATAAGGCGGATAAATTTTGAACCTGGCAACCTGCAGCTGGATGCATTTATGTATATAGTTCAGCAGGGGGCGCTGTGGGGTGGGGTGGAGCGGTCCCTCTGCTGAGATTTTGAGAATCTTATGCTTTCCTTTCTGTCACTTTGGTCAGATCTGGGGGCGTCCTTCCAAAGGTGCCTGTGCAGCAGAGGTGAGTTTCAGCAGGTTCTGACCAGTTCTGGAGAATCGGTAGAGGAAATTTTGAGTAGTTCCGAGAACCGGTAGTAAAAATTCTGACTGGCCCCGCCCCCATCTATTCTCTGCCTCCCAAGTCCCAGCTGATGGGGAGGAAATGGGAATTTTACAGTATCCTTCCCCTGCCACGCCCACCAAGCCACACCCAAAGAACTGGTAGTAAAAAATTTTGAGACCCGCCACTGCTGTGCAGGTGTGCGTATGTGAGATTTAATTGCAGCTGGGAAGCGGAGCTGCTTTGGACTCTGGTTCTCCCCCTCCCAAAGCTGCTTCTCTGCAGCTGGCCGCAAATGTCTCAAATGGGGCAGAATGTGACTCCCTCATCCCACCCCACCCCGGTCAGCTGTCCTTCTGGGCCACCTGGCTCCTCCTCCTCCTCCTCCTCCTCCTCCTCCTCCTCCTCTCCCCCCCCTCCTCCTCCTCCTCCTCCTCCTCCTCCTCCGTGGCGCAGCAGGACTTGGCCCGGGGGGGGGGGGGGGGTGTCTGCCTCCTCAGGACAGCCTTCCTACTGCGTCCTCACTGGGAAAGGAGAGCCCTGAGCTGGGAAAGGCCTCTGACCAAAGCCCTCCTCAGCCTGTGGTGCCAGCCTGCCCAGTTGCCAGTTCTGTCTGCACTCTGGTCAGCTGCTTGCAAAGGGGTCCTCACCTTGCTGTCTGGAAGAAGCCCCCCAAGTTCCTCAGGCCCCATCGGGGACCCTGGGCTTCCCAGGGCTGGAAACCCGGGTCTCCCTTCCGGGCCAGGCAAGGAAGGCTCCCTCCTTGCTTTGCTGGTGCAAGGTGATTCCCCTTTTCTACCAGCAGAGGGTGCTGTTGGCCTGTCGGCTTCTCATGTTGGCTGAAGGTGCCTTATGACCTGTGCCCCCATCTCCCCATGAGGGGTCTCAGTTCCCACAAGCTGGCTCCCTGTGTCTGGTGTCTGCCCCCCTCCTCCCCCCCTCCAGAAACTGGAGTTTGCAAGAGAGCCGTTTTACTCTGCCCTCCTGTATGACAAGCTGCCAGCTTTAACGAACGGTATTTCCAGAAGTGGGTTTTGAGATGTTCTCCTGCCTTGGAAGGGCATTTTGACTAGTTCTGGATTAGGGTGCAAGATCTGGGGGGAGGGGGCGCGGCAAGCCTGCTTGATTTTTGAACCCTGTGCAATATTGTGCGTGTCAGAATGCCTGGTTTGCTCTGAAGTTCCCTTTGATCCCGGGCAGATTTTAATTAAATGGCAAAGAAGCATTAGTAAGATCAGCATTATTATAACTCTGCAGACTGTTGCCCCAAGGTAAAGCCACAGCTTCCCCCTGATTAAAATGCTTGGCACAAACTGCAGCCCTGCAAGGAAGGCCAGGGGTTCTGAGGGTCTGATTTGCCCTCAGCTCTGGGTGGGGGGGGGTGACCTTGGAGCCAGTTGCGCTCTCCCTTTGCACAGTGTTTTTGTGATGAGGAAAAACAGGCTTTGAACTGCACTAAGATATAAATGTCACAGCAAATGCACTGCTGCCAGTAAACTCCAGCCCCCCCGTGGGCGGGGGTCCCTCCCTTGCCTTTGACCAAAGGTGGAAATTCAAGGGATCCCAGCTCTGAATGCTGGCTTGGAGCCAGAGATGCAAGTCAGCATGGCAAAATTCTCTTTGGCTTTTGACAACTTTGGACTCGCCATCAATGTTCAAAAGACGGAGGTCATGGTCCAGCCTGCTCCTCATGTGCCACACGCTGAACTCCAAAGCACGATCAAAGGGCGGAAACTTCAGACAGGATCAATTCAAGCCCACCCCCACCCCTGGCAGCAGCCTGCCCCGAGGTGGGGCCCCTGGGACTGAAGCCAAGCATAGGAGAATTTTGCTTTCAGGCAGCTGCAGTGCGCTGGGCAGGAATGTTGAGGGATTGGTCCAGCAACGAAATTGATGGTCCACCGAGCCCTGGGACTCACTGCCCTTCTGCAGGCCAGCGGAACATGGACTGTGCATGGAAGACACACACAAAGTTTCCACCTGCCCTGGCAGAGTATCAGGCGTCCGATGGCTAGATCAATTACTGGACACCACAGTTTTCTCTAGAGCGATTCACAGGGCTGAGGAGAGTAGGGCAGGAACAGATATTCCCTGCTGGAAAATGCTCACCTGGAGGGCAGAGGAAACTTTCAAAGATACTTAAAAGGCCCCTCCGAAGTCTCTTGATGTAGACCCAGCCACTAGGAGACGCCTGGTGTGGCTGCATCCACAAGGGCTGGTTGATCTCACAAAGTTAGGCACACCGCAGAAGCACATGTGCGCTGCACAAGTCTAGAACCATCAGTGCCACAAGTGGCCTGTGTGTGTTTGCCCATCGTGCCAGACCATCCCATGCCCGGCTTGGCCTGACCCATCATTTTTGGACTCCCCACGACCGACGGGGCTGAGGCCATTGATGACGACAAGCCACAAGCGACACTTGCTGCCCAAGGCCGGCTTGAGCCGAGCCCAAAGGAGCGAAGCCGGAGCCTAAACTCACCCCTTCATCCCAGGGAGCACCTGTGGGAAGGGGGCTGGTGGCCCACCCTCCACAACTTTGAAGGAAAGCTGGACACATGGAGCGTAATTCTCGCAGGAGCCAAGGAAGCCATTTCATGCTTTTTAAAAAATTTATTCTTAAAACAAAGAGGAGGCGGCAATTCATTGTTAGGCTCATCTGCCCAGTTGTGAGGGGGACATGGGAGAAGGAGCCCCCAGCAGGAGGAGAGGAGGCATGGCTCTGGGGCAAGTGGGTCGGAAGGGGGGGTCTGGGCTTGGGAGCCTGAGCGTTGCCCCATCGTCATCATGGGGTATTTTGCAAAAGTACGTTATGGTGACAACAGCTCTTTTCCATCATCTGGAGTTCACATGCTCAAATTCAATTTACATACGTAAAAAAAAGCAATACCATCTTTTAAGGTTGCATGTAGAAAAATATGTACAAATATCTTTCCTGTACATAAGATACCCCATCTGGGGAAGGGGGGTTGGCAAGCAAAGCCATAGAAGCCTTTTCTGTGCCAGCCGCTTCCAGCCGTTTCCTCACCTCCCCTGCTGACATCCCAGCCCCGCCTGCTCCCTGGAGCCACTGCCCTCGTGCCAGGCCAGAAGCAGCTCTGGGCACCCTCTTTTGCCTGTCCAGCGGGCTGCTGGGTGCTTCCCCAGCATGGGCAGCCGGTCTGGTGAAAGTGGGCGTGTGATCTGGGGAAGGAATTGGGTAGCAAGCAAGGCTAATCCAGGCTCTGCTTGGTCAGATGAACACAAGGCGAAGATGGGAAGGTGGGTTGCATGTTTGAGAATTCAAAAGGTTAACTGGAAATCACTCAATGCAGGAAGTGCTGTGAAGAAATATTTGGGTAGCGAAGCAAAACGGGTTGGTCTCAAAGCAGCAGCTGATCCAGCCTGTTGGTTCAAGTTGCCTCCCAAATTCCACTTACAGATGGCTAATCAATGTGCCTCAGAAAGGGTTGATCTGCATCGTCAAAAATTTTGTGTGATTACGGAGAAGAAATGAGGTTCAGTGGATCTTTTAGAGAAGGGGATTGAAAAAAGTGCTAAGAATTAAGGCAAATGTTTGCACAATCTTGCTTGAAACTTGTTAAAAAGTTGAGGGGGAAAATCTAAGTCTCAATTTTGCAGGATGCCAACCAATTAACCAAGCAGCCACAGCTATGATCCAAAACAAAGATTTAAAAATCCCATTGATTTTAGCTACACATTTAGCATGTGCTCAGTTCACTGAGACCAATGAAACTTTTCAGGTGGCGAGACAAAATCTAGTCAAATGAAGCACTTTTGAGGCAATCCTGTTCCATATTAACCTGTTGTATGAAACGGAAGACTCTTTCCCTGCTCCCTGTAAACTGCAAGGATCCATAACTGGCATGTGAAACCAGACTTCAGCTGTGTTTTGCTTGGGGAGCGGGCCTTGATGCCACCAGAGAAGCAGCCGTGCCACTTGCAGAAGGGAGGGGGGGTGCCAGACGGTGAATCTCGGGACATCTTCCCAGGCTCTGACTCCAGCTGCAGATACACACTCAAATGTGCAAGCAACATTGAGGAGACCCAAGACCGGGGCTGCCCTGCTTCAGCAGTCTCTTGCAGAAGATTTGGCACTAAGCTCACTACCCATCCGCCAGTTGCCTTCCAGCAGAGCCAAGAAAAGCTCTTGGCAAGAGGCTCTGGGCTGGAGTTCCCCAAGGCTGATGGGGTGTGTGGATGGGACCGTGGAAGCCCAAGTGCCCCAATGGGCAAAATCGAGGCCAAGAGGGAGGTGCCCACCTTGGAATCAGGCCGGCCTTGAATGCCCCTGCTGGCTGCCTTATAAGCAGGATCAAAGGCAGATCATGAAAGGAAAGGCGGTGCGAGTCACAAGGATGGCTGACTTGGCTTTCTCCATAGAGAGTCCAGGCACACCAAGATGTCGGCTTCCACAAGCAAAGGCCTTGAGAGTGGGGGCGGGGGGGATCCTGGGACACCACAGGGGGGGGGGGGGGGGGGGGCTCCCTTAGAGATTCCTGGGAGGATTTGTTCTCTACTTCCTTCCTGCTGTCCTTGCGGTGTTAGAATAGCCAGCAGCGTTTGCCACGGCTGTGAAAGTGAGGTAGGGGAAGGTCCCCTTTGCTCTGCCTGGAACGGTCCCCACTTTCTGCCTGGTCTGTCCAGGCCGTCCATTTGGTGCAGCACAAGGAAAGGGGGGGGGAAGGAAGGTGTTATTGCAGCTGCTTTCCTTCTCTGGACGCAGAGGGCAGATGCTCAGTGCAGGTTTGCGAGGCCGAGGGGCCCCCCAGGGAGATCACCTTCCATTCAACTCCAAGGCAGGCCAGAAGGTTGTGGGTGGACGCTTAAGAGGTTTTGGCAAAAGAACAAACTTCACTTCCAAGTCTTTCTCTCGATGAAGGAAGCTTTAGGTGCAAAATGTTAGACCGTTTCTCCACCCCCCCCCCTCAGCTGCAGAAACATAGCACACTTTAAGCCAGAGTTTTAAGTCCTGCTGCTTTGATCTTTCAAGCAAGCCAAGGCCTGGGATATTCCACGTGACTTGCACGGCCTCCTGCGGTGGTTCTACAGCCCCTGCTTTCCACGGAGGTCTTGGTCAGGACTCAGCACGTTCCATGGAGGCAGAAAGAGAGAGGTGTTTCCTGGAGAGCCCCATCTGTGGAGGGGGCCTTTTTCTGTTGCCAGCCCAGCCTGCCTTCCTGGGCATCGCCAGGCGTCAAAGGCAGAGGGGGTGGCCGGGCGCCTGGCCTTCGATCGCAGTCTGTGTGGGGCGGGGGAGGCCGTGCCTCAGGCCTAGTTCTGGTGCCTCTTCATGTGCAGAGCCAGGTGGTCTGAGCGGGAGAAGCAGCGGCCGCAGGCCAGGCACTTGAAGGGCTTGGCTCCGGTGTGCTTGCGGTAGTGTCGGGTGAGCTCATCCGAGCGGGCAAAGCGCCAGTCGCAGCCTTCCCAGGTGCACCGGTAGGGCTTCTCGCCTGGAAGGAAGGGAAATGGGAGCCTGTCACACACCAGGAAAGTCTGATAGCTGCCCACCTGCTTCCCCTGGACGGCCTGGGCTGGCGCTGCATCCCCTGGCCCTGGATGCCTCCAAGGTCACTTGCTTGATGAACAGTTGCAGGAAGAGGAGGAGACGGGGGGAGTGGAGTGGTGGGACGGAAGAAGCTGGGAAGTTGCTGGCAGACGAGGGAAAGCCGGATCTCTCGCTGCTCGTAACCCAGAATATGCTGGTGAGGGGGACAATGGGGCGCTTGATGCTAGAGACCCTCTTCCGTGTTCTATTCTCCCGCTCAAAGGGACTCCCCGGAGGTCTCCGCCCCACCCTCTTTCTCAGAGCAGCCACGGAAGGGGATTCGTGATGCCCTGAAACACCCGGGTTGAAGTCGGCTGCAAGACAGTCGGCATCCTGCATGTCCTGCATGGCGTCTGCTTTGGAGACCACGCCTGCAGGCAGGTGCCACCCTTTCGCTCCTGACCCATATCATGCCTAAGCAGAACTGCGCCCAGGTGGAGCCGAGGGAGAAAACTCCCGGGAATGTTACAGCTTCCCTGTGCAGGGTTTGCGCCAAGCACATTGGCAGGCGGTTTCCCAGGCTTTGTGAGTCAAAGCCATTGTCCTGGGAAGGTCACACTCTGCTTCAAACAATACCTGAGTGAGTTTCCGGGATCGAAACCAAACGCTTGCCATTGTCCCCACAGCAGCTCCTTACCAGGGCAGCCTGGCAGGGCAGCCACAAACAATGGGCCCCAGAGTGGGGCGGGCGGCTGAGGGTGGATGCAATCTCCCAGACCCGATGGAGCAAAAAAGACCCCCCTTGTGGTTGAGGGTGGTGAGGGATTCCTTAACTCCCCCCTCCAAGGTCTTCTGCCCTGCCATAAGGTCACCATCTCCTGGGGGTGGGGCTGGGGGCTCCAGCCTGCCTCCTGTTAGAAGCGCAGGGTCGTCTGGGGCTTTCTTGGGCCTTCCCGGGCATTTATCTTCCACTTCCTCCATGGCAAACTGTGACAGATCAGCCCTTTCGAGGGTGGCTGAGCTCCTCCTCCAGAGAAGGGGAGGCTGAGGAGGGGCTTTGCCCCTCTGCTGCTCTTAGGTGGCCTTCAGCTGCTTGGCCAAGTTTAGGCTGCAGACTGTGCAGCTAGTGGCAATCCCTGGCCCTGCTCAGCTGCTGAACATCTTCAGAAATTGCAGGCCTTTTGGAGCTGCTCTCTGCTTGCTTTTTTCAACCTGAAGAGTCGGAGTGGAAGAGGAAGCCCTTCCGTTCTCACCCGTCAACCCAGGGGTGAAATGCTCCCGGTTCGGACTGGATCGCCCGATCCGGTAGCGATGGCGGCGGGTGGTTCAGAGAACCTGTAGCAAAAATTCCTGCGGCCACCCTCCATGCCCAGCTCAGCAGCGCAATCATCAGAGGCTTTTTTTTTACTTTTAAAAGCATTTTTTCTACAATCCCTTCTGCCGAAAAAAATGCTTTTAAAAGTAAAAAAAAAGCCTCTGACAATCACACAGCTCAGCTGGGATCATCAGAGGCTTTTAAAAGCATTTTTAAAAAAAGTTAACCCCCCCCCACCAAGCCACACCCACAGAACCAGTAGTAACAAATTTTACATTTCATCACTGCTTCAACCCCAAAATAGGGCTCAAACTGCAGGGCTGGAAGGGAAGGGAAGGGGCTGGGGGTGCCCTTGCTTTGCCCTTCCTGGTGAAGCAAGAAGGCTTGGAAGAGGAGGACGCCTCTCATCCAGAGGCCCAACATGTCCCTGGGCAGCTCCGGCTTCCTGCAGCCCTCAGAGAGACATCAGCTGTCCACCCCGCCTTCCACGCTGCCCAGTGCCTGGCTCTGCCCTTGGCAGCAGCTTTTCCCAAGTCTGCCTGTCTTCAGAACAGCAGCAACTTTTGGGAAAAGGAAGCTCCCTGCCTGCCAAACCAAGATTCTCCATTCGAAGACTCAGAAAAGACGATTCACGTTTTGAGAAAAGCTCTGCCTCTTGCCAGGTCAACCTACCAGTGTGAGTCCTCTGGTGAGCTTTCAGGTGTGAACTTTTGGTGTAAACCTTGGTGCACCCTGGGGGAAAAAAACAGAAGAAAGAATCAGTCGCTGAGCCCAGAGGGCTGCTGGCACAGGGCCAAGGTGGGAGAAGCAGTGGAGAAAGTGGAAGATGCCGGGAGCTCCTTCTTAGGCTCTTTGCCTCTTTTTCTCCCTTCTGCCTCATTGCTAAAGGTGTACTTAGGGTGCCGCCAGTGGGGGCTTTATCTGAGAATACCAAAAAGCCCCTCCCTCCCTCCTTTGCATGCAACCTCTCCTGCTGTGCCCATTTTTCAGAATAGTTGTGGCTTCAGTGGGGGAGGCCCTGCATTCAAAGATTGGGCGAGGGGGCACCCAGCCCCCCAAAATCTCATCCTTAAAACAACTGTATTCCAGGTTAAGGGGCATAACACTTATTGGCTGTGCCGTGAGGCAGCCAAAATACAGCTCCAACTTCAGCTAGATCACTGCCAGTTGTGAACGGGGGCGGGATGGGGACGGGGAGAGGGGGAGTTAGCCAGACTTAAAAGGTTGTCAATCTCCTACCGGGATAGTCACAGTGGTGGATCCTCCTCTTCTCCAGTTCTGGATTGTTCCTCCGGTTGAACTTGGGGGTTGGCAGGATGAGGTGTCCCTGCGCGATGCTCTTGAGGGCGCTGGGCCCAGAGGCGATGTGTCCTGGGGGCGCCAGTTTCAGTCCAAACGTGGCCTCATAGGGGGGTGGAGGTGAAATGGTGTTGATGGGCTCAGGCTGGTTCTCGGGGCTGCCGGGCTGTGAGTTGGGGGGCGAAGGGGGCAGGCTCACTGCTGGGACGGGGTAGAACTCCTCCGGCACACTGAAGCCACTGAGGCCTTGGGAGGCCGCTGGGAAGGACTTGAGCGGTCCTGCTGGCCGCAGGGGCCGGGCAAGGGCCCTGGAGTCCAGCATGGAGCTGCCAGTAGACATGCCCACCCCGTGGATGCTGCCGGCGGCCGTGGCACCACAGGTAGAGGGGGCCGCGGGAGTCATCTCCCCCGAGAGCTGGTAGAGCAGGCCTGGCTGCGGGCTGATCAAATGGGGGGTTTCGGGGCAGGGCAGCTCTTGTTTGACAAAGATGCTGTTAGCGGCCACGGACTGTGGCACGCTGAAGACGCTGGTGAAGTCCGGCAGGGTCTGGATTGGCCCGCTGCTGACAGGACAGGGCTGAGCAAAGCAGGGGCTGGGCTCCATTTTGATCTGGGGAAAGGGCATCGAGGGCTTAGCCGGCCGGTAGATTCCTGTGCGCAGGTGCGTGGTGTCTGGAAGGATCACGTTGATGTTGACGCTATAGGGTGCCGACGGAGGCTTTTCGGTGGAGAAATACTCGTCCACCACGGAGGCGCTTTCCCGGCGATACTTCTTGTCTGTTGCCATCGGTGTGGGGGGCATTTGGCCAGAGAGGTACTTGTCCATCTCGCTCCTTGCCTGAGTGGAAACCCAGAAGAGGAAGGAACAGTGAGGAAGGAAAGGCCCAAGATCTCTGTGCGGCTGGCATCCCCCACCAAGGCCAGGTGCCTGATGGCAACCTCCATCCCGTTGCTGTCCTTCCTAGTGTTAATGGTTGCTGCCCCTGAGACAGGCCAGCCACCTACAGGCTCCCCCCTGCACAGAAAGCCCTCCCCCCACAGACAAAGCCGGCCATGAGGTTCCTGCAAAGCTGCATCTGAGGAAAATCTCCATCCAGCTTCAAGGAAGCATCTTGGAGGCCTCAAATCCCCAATTTGGAGCCAGGGTGGCATCCCAACGGACAGCTGCCTCCATAGTTTTTTTTTTTTTTTTGTAATTTTTTTTTTAGACAAACATTTAATACATCAGTCATTTCTTCCGTGTGACATCTCAGTGTTATCTCCCAATATTCTTCTTTTTGCTGTTTCTTCTATCTTCATTCTAGCCTAGTCCATTACACCAATTCATCACTGACACAATATTCTAGTCATAACATTTTTTATACATAAGTATAAATTTAATTATTTATATCTCTTTTCTAACCAGTTGTAAAATTGATTCATTATCTTAAAATATTCTGACTCTTCTCTTTCTTTAATCATCAAAGTCAATCTGTTCATTTCTGCACAATCTAACATTTTTTAAATTACTTCTCCTTCCAAAGGTATTTTTTCTGCTTTCCAATGTTGTGCATAAACAATCCTTGCAGCTGTTATTACATGTTATTACATGTTATTTTATTTATTTTTTCGGGAAGGATACCCACTAGGAACAGCTCTGGTTTAAATTCAGTATGTTGCTGTATCATTTCTTCCAGCCATATCTTAATTTTATTCCAATAGTTTTTAGCTTCTGAACATGTCCACCATATATGGTAATATGAGCCTGGAAGCTAGTGACATTTCCAACATTTAGCTGATTTATCTTGAAACATTTTTGCCAGTTTCTCAGATGGCATGTGCCATCTATAAAATATTTTATATTGATTTTCCTTATATGTAGTGGACATCGTTACTTTATAGTTCCTTTCCCATAGTTGTTGCCATTTCTCTAGATCAATTGAATATCTGAAATTCTTTGCCCAGGCTACCATTGTTTCTTTTACTTGCTCCTCCTCCAATTCAATACCAAATAAAAAATTATAATTTTTTTTATTAATTTATTGTCTCTTCCTGTGAGCATCCTGTCCAACTCTGTTTTTTCTAGATAAAAACCGTATAATTTAGCATCTTTTGCCTCCATAGCTTATGGCTGCCCTCCCTCCCTCCCCTTCCCTGCTTGCAAACTCGGGAAAGGCCGTTGTGTTAGGTGAGCGGAAGACAGGTGTGTTGGTGCGATGGCTGCCTCGGTTGCCAGAGGGGTGTTTGCCAGCTTCCTCTTCTCTAGCCCTGAGGAGGAGCTGTTTTCCTTGGAACAGCCTCTCTGTTGCCAGCTCCCTTCCAGGCAGTAATTTTTAAACTCGGGAGCAAATACCCGTGGGGCAGTGCCAGGAAACTACCCAGAGGCCCGAATGCCAAGCACATCTGCATGAAGCCATGGCTCACTTGTTCAGGGACGGCTGTGCCAAGAGCGAGCTTCGAGGGCCCAGCTGCTGCCACCTCCAGGTAGCCCTACAGCAAGGGGAGCTGGGGAGCACCAGGGGGAGAAAGGCTGCCAGCCCCTCTGGTTCTGCGCTGTCTCCCATCTTTCCCATCAGCCACATCCGGCCATGGGCAGTCCACGTTCTACACGGAGGAGGTGGCCTGTGCCCCAGCCTTCCTGGGTAGATTGGCGCTTGATTATAAAGGCTGCAGGGTACATTTCCATGGTGCCCAAAAAGGAGCCAAGGGGTCTGCAAGCTCTTCCCCCGTTGGAAGAATCTCCTTAGTTCAGTCAGAAAAGCCCTTTTCACATTCTGCTGGTCAGCAGGAGAAAACGGCGCCTGTTTTCAGAAGAGCGCCTGATTTCCTCTCTTGCAAGCTTCCGAACCGACTGTCCTGCTTTTCCTACTGAAGAAGAGCAAAGCGCTCCAAATTCTGTGCTGCTCCGGGAGCCAAAATCAGCCTCCGGCTTGCCTTGAGGGGGATTTAAGCAAGAAGGCCGGGGATGAGGGAGGGCAGGTGAAATCCAGGAAGCCCTCGATTTATGTCCACAATTGGGAACAGCATTTCTTTGGCTAAGCAAGGCGGTTGTTAAGTGGATACCGCCTGATCTTTTTTGCCACAGTTGTTAAGTGATTCCAGCTTCCCCCGTTGACTTTGCTTGGGCACAAAGGGATCCCGGGATGATGCAGGGACGGTTGCCAAGGGCCCAAATTCTTATCACACGACTGTGGGGTGATGGTCATAAATGTGAGGACTAGTCATAAGTCAATTTTTTAGTGCGGTTGTAACTTCAAACAGTTGCTAAACAAATGGTTGTAAGTCAAGGACTACTCATAATTCTACAAAAGTTTTGGAAATGAGGAGCTTCTGCCAGGCTCCTGATATCCCATGATCTACATCAGCTCGCATTTGGCTTTAATTCTTTTGTCTGGGTTGATATATGCTTAATATATGCTTTCTATTAACTTTCTTTTTAAAAAATTCAATTGCCTTACAAACCTTTCTAAATTGTTACAGATGGCTACAATACAGTGGTGGGTTTCAAATTTTTTTACTACCGGTTCTGTGGGTGTGGCTTGGTGGGCTTGGCTTGGCTTGGTGGGCGTGGTTTGGTGGGCATGGCAGGGGAAGGTTACTGCAAAATCCCCATTTCCTCCTGATCAGCTGGGACTCAGGAGACAGAGAATAGATGGGGGCAGGGCCAGTCAGAATTTTTACTACCGGTTCTCTGAACTATTCAAAATTTCCGCTACCGGTTCTCCAGAACTGGTCAGAACCTGCTGAAACCCACCTCTGCTACAATATCACTTTGAAAGAAAAAGTTACACTTAAAGAAAAATAATAACTAAAAACAAAAAGGAAACTCAATCATCTCTAACCCCCCCCCAAAAAAAGCAGAAAAACAATCCATTGAACAGAAACAAAAGTTAAAAATCCATTGATAAAAAAAAAATAAAAAAATTCCACAACTGTTCCACAGTGCCAAACCTCATCTCTGTGCAAAGCCATCACCAGCTGTTTTTCAGCCGTTAAAGCTGAAGCAGAAGACGGGGCCATCGGTGGCCTGATCTTCCTCTCTGCTGAAGCAAAACCAGTTCAAACCCTGAAGCTGAACAGAAGGGCTGGAGACGGGGCTGGGGGGCTCCTTGGGGAGACGTCCGTGTTGCTGCTTCTGGGGGGAGGGGGCTGAGGGGGGTTCACACCTTGCACCCAGCACCCTCCCTGGCCAAACATTCCTGGGGATTATCCCACAGAATAAGAGATCTTGGCCTTTGATCCCCTGATTGTGGCCAGGCCCAGCAGATACTGACGGAGCAAGGTACGGCTCCCCAGAGGCAGGAAAGGGAGGGGGAAGCCATCCCCACCCCACCCCCCATCCCCGGCCATCAGAACCTCCGGGGGGGGCTCAGAGAATCCCCCTCCCCTCTGCAAACCTCTAAGAATGGTCATTACACAAATTTGGAGGAAAAGCCTGATTTGAAAAAAAAAAAATCCATCCCTCTCTCTGCCTGCATTCCTTCAAAAGAGGCTGGATTTCCATAGAAAGCACTTCTACTTCTGCTTGGCTCAGTGTCAGCCTTTATTGTTGCTCTAGTAAAAAATTGACCAGAGTCAATATTTGCTCCTCTGATCATTCAGTCTTGGAATTGACCTCAGATGCAGGGCAGAGGGGGGTGAGGAGGGGTTGGCGTGGGCAGTCTTTCTCCTAGAACTCTCCGGGGTGCAGTTTGGGGCAAGAGGGATGCCTGTCCTGGCCCAGGAGCAGCGCCTCAACTCTCACGGCAGCCCTCTTACAGTTTCCGAGGAGGAAACCGTTTGCTCTGCCCCCCCCTCTCCCCCATGGGGGGTAGACAACTGATCCAAGTCTCAAAAGTTGTGCCAGGCCTGCCTGATGACGCCAGCAAGTGCTCAGAGGAAGTGCCACTCCTTTGGAGCTGGGCCTGGCAGTGTCACTCCAGGCTGGGGCACAACCTGGCAGCTAGCCAGGAACCAGGCGGGGGGTATGGATGCCATGAACCACAATCAGCCCTCGCCAAATCAGAGCCCTCCACTGGAGAAGCTCACGGTTGGGGTCCATGAAGTTACGGTCTTGCTCCTCCAGGGAAGGCGAAGCGGATCAGAGGAAGCCAGCTCTTCCTCAAAATTGCAGGGAACTGCACGTCCCCCAGCTCACTTCACAGGCCGAAGCTCCCTGGAATCATCCCTGCTACCCCTGCCCCAAAGGAATAATGCCCAGGTGGTATGCTCTAGGCCAGGAGGGCGCAGCAAAGGACTCAGGAAGCAGGCCCCGAAGGAGGGGGGGGGACAAAGGACCGGCTGGCATTTGCTGAATGGCTTCCTACAAGGAAATACAGTTGCCTCCTTGGCTTGCGTAGCATTTCGGTCAGCAAGCAGAATAGCACTGGATTTATCATTGTATTAGATTACCTGCATTTTTTATCAGAACTGTTCATAACCTTTGGCAATCTAGAATATAAACTCTTATCCTGTCTTATCTGATTGTCTTTCTTGGGATCAACAATCTGAAAAACACCTCATTCTTTTGATCTGACATCTACATTTTTGATAGGCCTTTTCTGGTCAGAGAAATAAAAGTTGCCCTGCGTAGGGAAGGTCAAGTAAGGGAGACTTCACAGTTACCATAAATTTGGAAGCTTGAGGAGCAAATTCGTAGCCTCTGACAATACCTCCATCCACTTTCTTACGCCGTACTTGTGGGCTAACGATGTGTCTACCTGGGCAACTCAGCCTCGTATCAAACATGCCAGATGGACTTGGTTGGAGCTCAAAATCCTGCGAACCTTAATAATCTTGGGGGATACCATATTATGTGTAGAATGACAAGGATATACAGTATATCTTCCAGGTCTAGAAAAGAAAATAGACTTCTTTTGCTATGGGCCACATTTGTTTTGAAGATCATATTTCTTCAAAAAAGCTGCTTCAATGGGCCAAAGAGTCACGAAATGGCTTCTTTGGGACCAAATTATGAAACCTTGTTTATTTAGGCACACAGCGATTTGCATGAGTTGTTTCCCATCACTGGAAGTCCTACAGGGCTCTCCCAACTGACCATGCAGGACCCTGTCTGTGGCGCTTCTTCTGGAATGGAGCATGTGGTTGCTGGCGAGAGGGACGAGCCAACAGTTGAGAAAGATCTTTGCAAACTCCTATGGAAATGTCGGGTACCAATTGCCTTCTGATGCATCCATTAATCCAGGCTGCAGTTACAGACCGAGAGCAGATTCTGCACAGTATCTTGTGAATTTCCCTGTGCCTGGAACATGGGAAGCATGGGCCGTCCCTCCTCCATGTGCAGCTAAGGAGCAGCCCTTCCATCAGAGCCCCCTCACCCCTGGCAATCCTTGGGGAAAGGTTTCTTTGCAGGCCTGGATTGAGCACAGAGTGCCAACCCTAGCTTGGTTGATTAGCCATTACTCCAATTGCCTGACCTTGAATGCAAGTTTCCTATGAAATAGTTTGCTTTAGGAAAGATTAAAATGAACTGAACAAAGGGAGGGAAGGCCAATATTTCAGAGGGAGAGGTAAGGTGTCAGGGAGCATTTCCCTTCAAAAACGGGAAGTTGAGCTGGGGCTGGAAATAGGTTTGTTCTCCTGAGTTTCCAGGCTTCGATGACCTTTGCAAGGGAAAATGCAGCCGCCAACCTCACCGTCACCTTGTTTGGCAAGTAAAACAAAGTCTTCGGTTCACAGATCAAAAGAATTTAGCCAGATCTCCGCTCTGAAAGATGCTCTAGATTGTGCATTCCAGGAAACCCCAGGGAGAAAGAAGCCGAAGGGCTGAGGGAACCAAGGCCACCGTTCTGCTGGTAGAGCATCCAACGGGCCTGGGGTAGTCCTTCTACTGCCCCCTCCCCCCATCTCCTATTTCTGGAATAAAGAATATGGGTCCAATCGAACCTTACAAATTGACTTTATGAAAAGTGTCTTTCAAATGGCGACTCAGGTTGGCCGCCTGGGAGATTACAGCACCGATCAGACAGAAATTGCACAGTCTGGTGTGATGAAAAGGTCTCACATTCTCAAAGTTCCCTTCCCTCCGAATGCCAAGAGGCCCCCTCGCTTGCCAGGGCCCCTCTCTCTACGGCTCCCCGGCATTTTCTACCAAAGACCCGCCGTCTTCTCTGCCAACAAGATGGCGCCAGGAAGCCTTGCACTTGTGGTTAATCATTACCTCGTTTGTTGGACCGATTGAGCAAGAGAAAATGGAGGGGGGATTGGCATCAAATGAAGAATTTTCTCAGGGTTGGGATTTCACACCCCTGAGACAGACGTTGCTCTGCAAATGCCAAAGTTGGGGGCCGATTCTCTTGAAATCAACATTTCCTTTAATGTTATGCAAACAGAAGACAAATTTTGGTCTCAGTGGAGAAATGGGCCCGTTTCTGTCCTTTTCTGGGGCCGTTTGTTCTGAGAAGGAGGTCGGCCAATTCTGTCTCCCAGTGGCCCCCATGGAAGAGGCCTCCCTGGGGAAGGTGGCAGATGTGCCGCCTCTCCAGGTCAACAATTTAGGATGAGCGGCTGAGAAGCCGAATCTGCTCCCTGGATCAAGTCACAAAACCCAGGCAAACAAGCAGAGTGGCCTTCCAGGGCAAGGTCCCCACGAGACGGTTCCACTCGATATGACAAGCTGACGATATGCGGGGCAAGAGAGTTCCACCATCATGGAAGCGTGTCTAAAAGGCTTCCCACCATTGTGGTCACCTGCAGGTCACATAAGCCCAGATGCCCTTCCTGATTTCCCCTGAAGTTCCTGCCCTGCCTTGCCCTCCATAATGGGAACTGCTGCTGACACTGCCTAGACCAAGATGGGGCAGAGGGTCAGCCCTCCTGCCCTGGTGCGCAAAGCCTGAGGAAAGCCACCTCCTTCCCGCGAGGACTCCTGCCTTTGACCTGGCCTCCCCTTCCTTTCAGATAGGGTTACTAACCCTAACCCTTCCCCGCCCCCCTCCACAAACACCAGGCCACCAGTTCCGCAGTGGGGAGAGAGTCTTCCCCACATGCATAGCAGCAGCATAATCTTCTCCCTGCCTTTGGCCTGGCCCTACAACGCATGCAGCCGCCTGTATGTTCCTTTCACACATTGGAAGGAAGCAGGAAAGACCAGCATCTTCGGCCAGGTGGAAGAGTCTGCAAAGGTGTGCCAGGTGGGCTCTCTGCCTCCACCTCTTGATTCAGCCCCATCTCAATGGGGGGAGGGGAGGCAGGGGGCTCACCACTGGGGAATCTCAAGGAGAATTCCATTCCTGTGCTTTCCGAAGACAGCAGCCCAGACAGCGAGAAGGAACGAAGGCACGTAATCTCAGTGGGCTCTTCCTCTGGAACAACGTTTTGGCTCAGAAACGCCCTGCAGGCACTTGGCCAGAGAACCCGGCTCTCTGGCGCGAAAGGCCGCCGCCCTTCCTCCCCCCCCAAGGAAAACAACCCAAAGGCCTTCGGGGAGCCTCCCTTGCCTGGGAACATCCCCACCGCAAAAAAGCAGCACCCCAGAAACTTTATCCCAGGCGCAACAAAACGAGGCCAAATTCAGGTGCGTCTTTCTCAAAAGCTTTCGTTTTCTCAGCTGCTTGTTTCCATCCGTCACCCGTTTGTACACAAAAACTGATTTACATTTCAGGCTGACTCCAGATTGTCCAGTGTAAATTTTGGTGACCCACCGGTCGTTTCCAACAGCCTAAAAACTCTAGCAACTTTTCTTGCCTTTTGTAGCCACCCCAAATCCATAATTAGAGGGGAAAGAAGAATACAGTCAGTTTAGAAACTTTCTGATAATTGATCTCATCAACCTTTTGGATTAAAGCGGCAACTTTTCAAAAGAAAAGTTTTTCTAACCCTCCTAATTCCAACAGAATACACCTGAGGTCCACACTTCTCTTACCTGGGCCAAATCCTGTTGATTCTCCAAGATTCGTACAGGCGGCTTGATGTCTTCAAAGACGGCCATGTCGTCACTGCATTCCCTCGCCATCGCAACGGGCTTCAAGGGCGTAAAAGCTACACTTTCCTCAGACATTGGGGAGCTTGCGACAAGCCCACTGCCGCTCATCCTGTTTGTGTGCCCCTCTCCCACCTTGCCGAGTTGCGAAACCCAAATCAGAGAGGAAAAACAAGTTTTTGGAAAGGCAACAATCAGGCGTTCCGAGGCATGCCTGCTCTTCCTGATCTTGAGGAATCCAGGTGCTCTGTAGCCTTAAGAATCCCAATCTTCACCTGTCCTGCAGTGGGAGGTACTCTTACCTGGCAAAGGCTGCCTCAGGCCTTCCCAGCCAATTGGGGAGGAAGCGAGCGCCACTCCAGCCAATGGCAGAGCCAACGGCCTCTTCCTTCAGGCAACCCAAGACACAATGCCTAGTGGAGAGGTAGCGAGCGAGCCAGGCAGACGGCTGGGCCTGTGGCCCTAAGCCATCTTATACGCGGGGAAGTGGGTGTGGGGTGCCTGCCAGGAGCTTCAGTTGCAGCAGGCAAGATCCTTTGCAAGCCGTCCCTGTCCTCGGCTTATCTTGCATGGTCTTCCAGCCCAAGTCCTCCGTGCCAGCTCTGGGTTGGGGTGAAGGGCCACTGGGCCTTTCCAATGTCTCTCCTCTGGCAAAAGGAAGGCCCAGTGCTAGAGAACCCCAGGGTTGAGTCTCGGATGCTCCAAGGAACTGTGCCTACCAGGATGCGTCCTGCCCCTTTCTGCAGGCAATTGGGCACCCGGGCGGGCCTAATCTCCTGGCTCTCTTGGCCAGCCATCCTTTGCCAAAAATCTGAGCTCCCTCCCTGGCTCCCCCCCCCCTCATCCAATAGGCAAGACTAAGTCCCTACCCCCTTCCAGACCAAGAATGCCCATTCTTGCTTTGTGGAAAGCAGCCCGTGGCCCTTGATACCTCTGGCCCAGGACCTCCCCATGTCGGGGGCTGATTTTCCCAGGCAGAGAAATCAGGACGCAAAGAGGCAGAGCTCTCTGACTTCTGAAGGCCACTTAGCAGCCAAGAAAAGAATTGCCTGATTCTGAAATTAACTAACCGAGTCCAGAAAAATCCACATTTCAAAATGAGAACAATTGTGGATTTCAGTGTTGTTACAAGAGTTTAGCTCTTATCTAGTTGCTATTTTGCAGAGGGATAAAACTCATTGTATGTGCAAGGCCAAAGAAGAGAGGACCTGAAAACAGACGTTTCATATGATTAACAGGCCTAAAAGTGCGGTAGGACCCCAAGAGGGTTTCTTACGTTTTTAGTAAAATCTGGGATTGATTCTTAGACCTCGTGATTGACTTTAAATCCCTTGTCTGGCCTTCAGTTTGGAAATCCAACTCTCTACATCTGTCGCTACCAAACATTTGGGGAGGGGGAGGAGAATACATATATATTTACACATATGGGTATATATGGGATTGTTTGAAATCCTGAGGTGTAGCCAGACGTGCGGGAAGAATGGCAGAGAATTTCAGACGGATAAAAGCGAGAATGGGGGATGTGGCTGTAAACAATCTGAAAGGAAACTCTTCACAGACCTTCCTTATTTCTTAGTCAAACTGGATGAAGTCAGCAGACGGAGCTTTCCCTTCTGAAAAGGGGGAAAGGGATTAATCTGGGTAAATTTCCGAAGCCTCCGGACAAAACCAGCCTTTCCAATCCTCACAGCAGTTGCTTGAAGCACGATGGTAAGAGGAGGAACAATCCCCGCACAAGGGCCTGAGGTCCGAAAGGGAGACGGAAGCAGAGACCTCCAAGCCAGACCAGCAGCTGAGGGTCTTTGCAGAATCTTCTGCTCACCCTGCAGAAGCCCAGCAGGGTCCCTGTGGCTGACGAAGGTGGAATCCAGGCTTGGAAAAGGCCAAAAGGCAGGCAACTCCTAGCTTGGAAATCCCCAAAAAGCCGCTTTTAGTAGTTGGGGGGCGTCTAAAGAGCAAAGAGCTACGGCAGCTCCCAAAGGTTCCTGGTTCAGTTCTGCCTTTCCTTGCATGCCATGTTGGCGCCATTTGGCATTTGGCTCTTGCCTCCCAGGCTGTGTGGAAACTGCAGGCCTCTTCACACCCTCCTGGGCAAGAAAAAAGGACAGGAGTCGGAGCAGAGAGCTGGTGGTGGTGGTGGGAGGATGTGGGACTCAGGGAGGCTTTGATTTTACCAGGGTCTAAATGAAGTGATCTGAACTTACTTCCGGCGCTGGTGGGATTTGAGTTCAAGCGTCATCCTTACAATTTTCCTACAACTTTTTATAGCAAATTTATTATCATGAATATTGGCAGCATTGATCTTGTGCATCCTAACTTGGACATTAGAGTGTTTTTTCCACGTCCTTCCCACTTTGAAGAACCAATTCTTAGATTGTAGCGGATTTGCTATGGGCCCATGAGATGCTGTTTTTCTTCACAGTCCTGCCTGTGGGTTCTCTCGGCCACCCCCCCCCCCCCCCGTTACTGCCGTACCCCTCATCTCTAGGCCTTCTCCCTCTTTGCCCAGGTCTGTGTCTCAGGAGGCCCATTTTCTCTCCATCAGATGGGGATGGTTGGGCAGCTTCCAGGGACACAATTGCCTCCCAATGTTGCCAACAGAAAGTGTCCAAGCAGAAGGTGATTGCTTCACGTATGTGGCTCTTTCTGGCAGCCCAAGAAGGGAATGGCTGATAGGATCAAGGCCGTACCTTTGCTGGCAAGATAAGAGATTGACACATTGCTTTTATTGCTGAAATGAGGAGCTCCTTTCATCCCGGCAATCATTGACAGAGTCAGCAGGGGGCTGAAGGGGAAGGGGCTGCGCGTGGCCGAGGGGCTGAGCCTGGTAAAGGGTGGAAATTCCCACAGAGAGCAAGAAAGGAGCCAATGCAGAAAGCCAATTGTGCCACTCGGGGATTGCTGCTTGCTCCTATCCTGGAAAAAGGCAGTTCTGCCCTGCTCTGCCCTGCGAGGAGCCCAGTCCTTGAGCCACCCGGCAGGCTGGTGGCTGAGCAGCCCCTGGGCCTGATGCTTTCTGCTAGGATGGCACCAGCTCTCCATGCTGGCAGCCCTCCACCTTCTCTGCTCTGGGGAATGAGTGACGTTTCCATGGGGTTGGTGGATTCTTCTTTCTTTCTTTTTTTTGAAAAAAGTTTTTATTTTTATTTTTCATAAACATATTTACATGTACAGTCCTTTATCCACCATTTTTCATTCATCTTATTTTTTAACTTTTACTTGTTCGGAGCTGCTCTTTTACCATTTACCCTTCTTTGTTTTGCCACAACCTTTCTACTTCTCCTCCCATTCTCTTCCTTCCTCCTCCTCCTTTCTTCTTTCTTCCTCTCCTTCTCTTTCCTACTTCCCCTTTCCTTTCCCCACTCCTCTCTTCTTCCCTCCTTCTAACCTTCTCTCCTACTCCTCTTTCCCCTCCTTTTTCTTCCTCTCCTTTTCCCTTTCTTCTTTCTCCCCCTCTCCTCTCCTCTCTTCTCCCTTCTCCCTGGATTCTTCTTTCTGAGTAGCTTTTGTCCCATGGAGGAAAGGAGGAGCTGCCATTTCCTGGCACTAAAGGAAATTCAAGACCTGGGGGGAGGGGAGGCAGGCCAGGCAGGGAGGGGGACCTGATTCTCAGGGGCCACATCCACACCTAGCCTGGGGCCACGTCTGATGCTGGGCTGGATGCTCTTGCAGAGCCCAGGAACCACGCTCGCTCTGTCCTGAGATCAGGTCATCAGTGCCCTGGCTGGCCGGCCAGGTCCCGTCGCCTGGTGTGCCCCGCATTCTCTGCTCCTCTCCTTCCTGGGCTGGTGAGTGTGATTTACACACAAGCAAATGCCTTCCTGGCTTTGAAAGGTGGCCCCACATGCCACCTTTCAACTCATTTCTCCCACATGTCCGTGGGAGAAATGAGTTTGGGAGATGGTGGTGAGGAGGCTCAGATAGACAACCAGGGTAAGAAGAGGTGTTTGAACAAGTGTGCTCAGTGAAAACACACACACGCACAAACACATTTGCCAAACCAGCGTGTGCACTTTGTGAGTCCATTGCCCCCCACTGAAAGGAAGACCAGGGAACTGGGTGCCAGTGAGCTGCAGACCAGGCTCTGGGTGGGCACAGAAGAGAGCCAGCCTTATACTAAGATTCCTTCCCCCCCCTCCCTCTCTGCTGGCCACAAAGGGCAGAAATTGGACACCCTGCCCCTCTTTAGCCCCCCCTCCCTCCCAGCTCAAGGGACCCTCCTCCCAACATTCGGCGGCTGCTGGAGAGCCTTTCCTGGGGCACAAAGCCATGATGGGAAGCTGGTTTGTGGAGCTTGTGGGCCGCCTCTGGCAGTTGGTCTGCTGAGGGAGGCCTGGAGGGGCTGCTGTCCCCCCTGGATTTGAATCTGATGCAAAGTATTTTGCTTGGAGGGAGCCCTCCCCCCCGGGAGATCTCCCTCCCTCTTTCCTCCCTTGGCTCTGGGGCATATGACAGGGACCCTTCCTGGGCAGGGGGGAGAGAGCAGTGCTAGGATGCCAGGGGCAGGGAAGGCAGAACCACGATTCTGCCCAAAATGCGGTGGGAGAGAAGGCTGAAGAGGGTGCCTATTAAAAGGGCTGCCTATTTAAACTGCTTTAAAACAGTTAAACGCAGGAGAAAACAAATTAAAAGAAAATTAAATTCCGTAGCCTGAAATAATGAATGGAAAGGCCGTTCCAAAGCACGTTTCCTCCATCTACGTGATCGATGGCCGTCTGTGCATTGGGGAGCCATCCCAGAGAGCGGCTCCTGGGGGGGGGGGGATGCGGAGCCGGCCAGGAGGGAGAGGAGCCGGGGAAGACGAGTTGGGGCAGGCGCCAGCCCCACGGATCGGAATCCCACAGCAATAAACAAGGCGGCCGCAGCAGCAGACGAAGAGTTAAGGCGGTGTGTGCGTACGTGTGTCATGTTGCAGGAATGTGCCTATTATTCCTTTCACCTCTGGCCTCCTCTGGGAGGAGTGTTTGCAAAGCTGGTTTCTCATGGAAACGATTCTTTAAAAGCAACGAAGCTTCAAAACACGGCTAATAACATTTACCTTGGCGGGACATCTTGACAACAACTGGCTGGGGCTGGAGTGGATGGCTGGGGCGGCCCGGAGCCAGGCAGGAGCCATCTCTGGAGCAGCGCGAAATTCAGCACCCGCACCACGGACTGGCCTTGGCACAAGGCACGGAGCGCCCAGTCCGGGACCCCTCCCTGGCTTCCCATCACCCAGAGCCTGGGTGGGTGTTGGGGAGGGTGGTGGAAATAGCATCGAGGGGGGAACCCACAGCTCATGGGCTCTCTGGGCCTCCAAATCTTTTCATAGCCCCTGTGTATGTAGACGTGGGGAGGGCTCCACAGGCCAACCACCTTGGGCAGAGAGGATGGGCACAGGGCA